AAGAAAACGTGGAAGAGTTTGTCGTTAACGGCAAATCGTATAATACTTATATATACTGTTGCTGCGCCACGATCGACGTATGCTGCTGCGGCACGACGATCGACGTCACCGGCGTTTTTGGTGGTCGCCCTGGATGATTCATAAGAAATTATAAGAAAATGCAAACTTTAAAGGATTGTACTGCAAAATTCTATAAGTAAAAAATATTTCCGAGATAATTTTGGACAAGTAAAGCTAAAAAAAGGTTTTTGAAAAAATTGTCAATTTGGGCCCTTTTCTCAGCACCAAATTACTTGACTAGTTTCGGACTAGTCCTGAACTATCCCTAAAATGTCCGGTTTCAAACCCGTTCGAACCAGTTCACCGTGGACCTTACAGCTGTTTTCATAAATTCTGGAAAATCTGACAAAAAATTGACGACAGTGATAAACTTTTGATTCGGATGTAATCACATTCGAATCAAAAGTTTATCAAAACTTATCGAATCGGCAAATATTCGGTCGGTCAATTTTTGACAGATTTTTCAGAATTTATGAAAACAGCTGTAGCATCGATTCAGGGAAGTGATTTTATGCAAATTGCGCAAAATTTACTTTTGTTGCACGTATAATTGATGGGTTTATTAACACACGCTCATGAGGACCCCGAATAGTTATGAGTGCTCGAGAGTAACAACCTGTAAGTAAAGAGGTCGTATTTGAAAAATTGCTAATATCCCACCTTTTTTCGGATGAGGTTGTATTTGAAAAGTAGGTTATATTTCAAAGTGGATAATCAATTAGAAGGTTATATTTAAATTTTTGCTAATGAATTTAGTATGAAAAGGTCTCATCTTTGAGATATACTAATGTAAAAGATTATATTAATAACGGAAATTCGGAAAATAGAATATCAACTAACGTAAAAAGCTGAGTAAAAAGTATGGTCTGAAAATTTTTAGGAGCAAAACTCCAAACGTTTCCGCGACATAAAAAAACATGGCGACAATAAATATGAGATATTTTAAAAATGGAATAATAATAACAATATCGAGTCTTATATTTGAGATATGGATAACACGTGTCAATATAAAGGTGCTAACAAAGAAATTGTCCAAGTATAACCTCAATTATTCGGGTCTTCGCTCGTGTAACGTTAACCACGGGAGATATTTATTCATGCGTAGTAAAAATTATGATTTTGATTGGACAATCAATGTAGATTCTGCACTTCACTAAAAATAATACATACATTGATGTACACAGTATAAAAATGCGTTTGCTAAAATTATACCGATCATTCAAAAAATTCAATCTCATGTCTTTGCCTGAATCACAATCTTGGAAAAAAATCCGTTTAAATTCCGGAAAGGCAGTCAATGCAGGATCAAAGGATACTGACCAAGTAGATAGAGCAACAATTGATAAAGATGAACAAATAGATTCTAGTGAAAATGCGGAATTAAATGAACAAGTGATTTCAAACTGGAAGGTTCGGGAACAGGATGTGGGTTTAACTGAATATGTCGATGCATCCATTCCTGGATTTTCAGCAGTCATTAAGCAGCGGTATAATTAATTAAATATTTTGCAATTTTTCAGTTCAAGATAATAATAACTAATTTTAGCATATAGATATTCAGATTTCTTAGTTTATGAAATTGATCAAGATAATAATATCGTTCACATTACTAATACCGATTTACCAAAGGATATCAATGTCGATAAACAATCTTCTAAAACACTTAACGATGACATAACGGTATATTGTGCTTATTAGCTCTTTAATTCTCATTGTTAGGTTGTTTTATATTTATAATTGATCAGCAAATAATATTTTAAAGGTTATTTCAACTGACCAAATATTTCTTGACATGAAATCTTTACTTGGTGATGAAATTACTGAGAAAGTTAAAACTTTATTGAATACTGAAGGACAAGATCTCTCATTTGTTGATACGAAAGTATATATAAATATTTTTAACAGATTCTTTCATAAAATTAATGATTATTTATATTTTTACTTATTGTCCAATTAACCTTAAAGCCGGAAAAAGAAAAGGATAAACGAACAATAATTCATCAATTTTTCAAAAAACATTTTGGTGATAAATTAAATACCGAAACTAAAGAGGGTGCGATTAGAATAAGCATGCATACCTCAAAGACTCGAAATGGTATATAAATTATTATTGTCCGGCAATTGTTACTGTCATAGCTACTTGATCATATTAAATAACTATGTGGCGCTAAATATTATAAACGTTTTATTATTATTATTTCATTAAGCAATATTATTTGAATTTTTATATATAAAATTCTTTAGTTATTATAGTTTAGGTCACAAAGAAAAATTTGATCAAAAATTGGTATGGCAGTAACAACATGACTTTTTGATAGGATTTCTTAGAGTAACCACATAAATGCTTGTATTTATTTCATTATTTGTAGACCGTAGAAACAAAAAACGTGACTTTGACCAGTGGGAGGCACTAGGTGGTCCTTTTTGCCGTTTTGTTTTATATAAGGAGAACCGTGATACTATGGAAGCTATTAATTTATTGTGCAAGAAAATGAAGTAGGATTCTTCTTTTCAATGTCTTACAATATTTTATATTTGTTTTATTCATATGTTAAGGGTGATAAACTTATATCTTAAACCTCTTAATTTGTAGAGTTCATTCTCGTGTATTTTCATATGCTGGGACAAAAGATCGTCGTGCTATTACAGTTCAAAAAGTCACCGCTTCTATGATCAAGGCTGAAAGACTTTTAGGACTAAACGCTTGTCTTTATGATATGAAATTGGGAAATTTTGAGTAAGTAAATAATTACAAGAGAAACACTAGTAACCTCATACTACAAATAATACATCTTAATTTGGATTTATAGATACGTGAAAGAGGGATTAAAGCTTGGTGACCTAAAGGGTAATCATTTTGTTATTACACTAAGGTGAATGTTGTGGATTAAAATTTAATTATATGGTAGTTGATACTGAAATTGGCCGACGATGAAATTTGAGATTAGAATTGTTAATTAAACAGTATAAGTAAATTACAAGAAGTTTATATGTTCAAATAGGGTTCTCAAATTTCAGTATTGAGTCGCCATAATTTCACAACTCATGAGATTGATTTAATTTTCATACATTACAAATTACAGAAATGTTCAAGTTGAATCTGAAGAGATCATCGATAAGGCCATGAATGTTCTGAAAGAACGTGGATTCATAAATTATTATGGTATTGTATTACTAGAGGAACATATTATTTATAAAATATTTTTTCTTATACGCTTTATAATTTATTAGGGATGCAACGTTTTGGAACTTCCTCAATTTCGACATATGAAGTTGGCCGCGCCTTATTACAGAATAATTGGGAATATGCTGTTGACTTGATATTAAAACCACGGGTGGGAGGTAATATATATATATATATGAGTATCACTAAAAGAAAACCCGAAAATTTAAATATAAGTCATATTTAAATTTTCGGGTTTTCTTTTAGCGACACTCATATATGCATAGCTACCATTCAGATTATTTCTATTGTATTTTTTGACATTGCATTTTATTACTTATAGATAGTAAAGATCAACAACAAGCTAGGCAACATTGGGCAGAAAATCATGATGCTAAAAAAGCATTGGAATTATTTCCAAAAAGATGCGTTGCTGAATGTAATATTCTTTCTTCATTCGTAAAAACCGGTCATAACAAAGATTGTGCGGGCGCATTTGCTTCTGTAGGTCATACGAACTACTAATTGTCCACTTTATTATTATATATCATATTTAATGAGGCCATATCTTACATATAGATGCCAAGAAATCTTCGCCTTATGTATGTGCATGCTTATCAATCATATGTCTGGAATAAAATGGTGTCTGAGAGGTTACGTCTCTTTGGTTGCGAGAAACCAATAGTTGGAGATTTGGTAATTCTTGACGATAATGAATTAGGAGATAATATTGCCGACAGTGATGTCACCATTAATTCTGAGGACAAAAAGGTAAACATTATCTTTGATTTCTATATTGATATATGTATTAACAGTCATATTTATATAATATCTATAAACAACTACAGGAGATTAAAGTAAAAATCTTAAAAGAAGAAGATATACCAAATTATACAATCTATGATGTTGTTTTACCTTTACCTGGATACTTAGTTGTATACCCAAATAATAATATATTTGAGAAATATAAAGAACTGATGTGGAAGGATCATTTGGATCCTCGTGAAATGAAAAGAAACATAAAGTAAAGTGTAATTGTTTTTTTTTTTCATTTCAAAT